TTTTCTGGGTTTTCCAGTTTTGCTCTCTAAAGTCATGGTGATTTTTATGGAGGGAAGGAAGAACAATGAAAAAATGGATGGGTGGGGGGGACTATTGGTGACAAGGAATAGAAGAACACACACAATGATATTTATGGATTCTCCAGTTTTCTTCACATGCTAAATTCCAATTCCAAAGGTTTTTCATTATTATTTTCATTATATGAAATTAAGGGTTTTTCATGATTGACAGATGGGGTTAAACTATTGAACCACAGTGACCCATCTGGATAGGCAAACCTTTTCTAGTTACTAATACATCCTTACATTCTGTGTGTTAATTATTTTTTCAGGTGCCATGGTTTCCAGTGTCCTTTAACCTTCGTTCCCAATTGCCTGCCTTCTGTGTGGAACACTACCAGAAAGGCGTRTCAGCAATGTGGATGTTACGATGTGCCAACCCAAGTGGATCWTACTTCAAGCCAATCATTAGCAGTGACTTAAGAAGAATTATCAGACTGGGCGAGGCAGTACCACTGATCGCATCACAATGTAAGGCATGAATAAGTATATTGTACTRAACTAGTTAATGAAGGCCTTATCGTTGCTCTGATTGAGAGTCATTGTTCTGGATGCTGTTATTGTTGCTGATGCTGTTGTTACTGCTGTTGTTGTTGTTGCTGCTGCTGCTGTTGTTGCTGCTCCTTCTGTCGCTTTTTTCTCCTTCTACCCCGCTTCTTCCACTGTCCCTGTTTCATACTAATCTTAGTGTTTGACAAATCAATCATTTCATTTCCTAGTCTATATCTCCGTGGCTCTGTCGCACAAGAAGCACTTYTGTCTCCAKTACAGTGTAATCGTGCCATCATTAAAACMTCTCAGYCTTCTCATCCACAATACTCCACGCATYAGAACAACAGCCAAGAATTTTGACCCTATGGATGACCTAGACGAATACGACTCGAGCGCGCTGATTACCACAAGCGACACCGCTCCACAAAATGCTGAAACCATGGAAGAATTCCTCAAAGACTTCGAGAAAAACTATCTATCGCGAAAACAGTACACTTGGGAAGAAGTGAAGAAAAACGTTTATCATAATATTTACGAGCTGTTTCTAGCGGTTTCAAGTAGTCTCTCACGACCAGGTAACGTTAGCAGCGARAATCAAAGTCCAGGGAACTTGTGTGCTGTGTATGGCGTTGAYGTTTTGATTCTTGAAGATTTTTCTGCTGTTGTTATTGGCGTGGATTCGGTACCGTCGTTCCCCAACAACGAAGTGGCTAAAGAAGTGCTGTATGTGGCTTATTCCGATCAGGAAGTGTCTGCTACGTTTGGAAATCGTTTTACAAAAGTAACTTGTGAAGAATAGGGACTGGATGAATCAAACTTAACAGAAATACTGAATCAGTATTGACTTACAGAAGCCGAAAATATTTAGTCTGAATTCTATTCATAGTTAGCAATAGCTTCTAGTTTTTTGGTTTAAACTTGTAGTTTACTGCTGACT